AGACAAAGGTTGGTCCCTTCATGGGTAGCTGGTAGGGTGGGGTAGGGGACAGAAAATAAATGATAAATAATAAACGTAATAGGTGGGTTACATTGTATGTTAGAAAGTAATGTGTATGAGAAAAGGGCAACTGAGAAGGAGGATTAAGAATATGTGTGTGGGGGGTGCAGTGTTAAACACTGCAGTAATGGTAAAGCTCTTTGCCAAGGTGAAATCTGAACAGAGACTTGGAGGCGGTGAGGGAGTGAGCCATGGGTTGTCTGGGAAGAAGCATTCCAAGCAAGAGGGTGGTCAGCACCAAGGACCTAAGACAAACTACTACTGGAAGTTGACTGTACTTCTGGAATATATTTTATGGTCTATTTTATTCTCCATCATTTTACTGTACAACATTAGCTTATTTGTAAGTAAAGGGATTCATGTTTGTTAATAATTTTTAAAACTACAATCTCATTTGTCCATAACTAAAATACCTGGAAACTTCACACATGCAGAACATACATAAGGCCAATCAGGGGAAGGAAAAAAAGAAAGAAATGGCCTCTGAGAAGCCAAAATATGTACTTAGAGAAGAGGCATCAGGCCCTTCTTTATGGCTTTTATATAAAATTTGATAAAGCTTGGTTACCTAGTATCCAAGCTCTTAACTGACAGAAAGGAAGGGATTGGAAGGGAACTTTGGCAGGGAGGAAGTCAGAGGCTCTGCCAATCAGATCCACTGACAGCAGTGAGAATTAATATCTGACAGCCTGCCAATGAGGAGTCAGCAAAATGCATCAAGGCCCAAAGAAACTGCCACCCCGAAGCTCTACTCAGTGATGGGGCAATTAGCCCCTCCATCCTCAAGGGCCCTGAAAACACCATGGAGGAGCATATGACAGCCACTTTCTCAAAATGACAACCAGAACATCCCTCCCCAAAGTTTGACAACAGAATAATCGGTTCAGAAGTTTGGGAGGGAAGGATTTTAGAAAATTTTAATTTAAATTCAGTACAAATTTGTAACAGTTTTGTTGATTAAAGAAGTAAATTTTGAAGTACCCAAATAACTTGATTATCTTGAAAGCCTCATCCACAGAGAATACCAAGTAGGCAAGAAATTTCGGCACCAATTAAGGTGATGCTCAAGTTATTTGAAAGTTGAAAATCCTCCACAGAGGGGTATAGATGGTCTGATTATTTCTTTATCATTGCTCTTAAAATTACTAGTCATCACACTATTACATTTGAGTGTGTTTTCTTGTGAGAAAGTAAGATGC